GGCCAAACCCTTGTCCAATTTGAAGCCTATCAAAACTGAAGCCGGCATAAGAAACACTTTTATGAAAATACTTTTACGAAAGCACTTTTGCAAAAACACTTTTATAAAAGTACTTTTACGAAAGCACTTTTGCAAAAGCACTTTTATATAAGTACTTTTACGAAAGCACTTTTGCAAAAGCACTTTTATGAAAGCACTTTTATAGAAATATTTTTATGAAAAGTACTTTTATGAAAGCACTTTTACAAAAGTACTTTTATTCATTCACTTTGGATTGGATTGGACCCAATCCGATTTGTTTGCATTTTAAATGGACTGTAGCAGGTGTTGTGTTTTTATATATTTTCTGGATTTCTCATGTTATTTTGGTGTTTGATTCAATTTGGATTGGATTGGACTTGGCTTGTATGGATTTGGTCCAGTCCATTTGTAAATGGACCAAAATTGGATTGGACCGGACTGGACCAAATTCAGTTCAATTGACAGTCCTACCTACGAGTATGTGGAGGTTATGTTTCTTAGTATGTCTTAACAGCTCATTTCCATTAGGTTCATGTGCACATCAAGCGACACTTGATGAAGGAATTGCCGGACACTGATGATGGTGTTGCTCAATGGTGTAGAAGTGCATTTGTGGTCAAGGTACCCAATTTCAACTTTTGCTACTTGGTGCTGCTGGCATAGTTTTTTCATGAACTATTTCAAACTTGCACTTGCAGTGTTGAAAATTCATTTTAGCTATAAACTTAGAGTTTGTTGAAAACATGAGTTCCACCTAGTTTTCTTGCAAACAATATGCTTTTCACTTTTGGGTTTCCCTTGTGATTGATTTGCTTTTTTTTGCTTTCTTGTCCATCAGGATGCTCTATTGGACAAACATTTGGTTGAGGGTACGTTTGGTGACCAAGAATTTCAGGATACTGGTCGACCAAAAAAGTCTTTGTTGGTATGATGCTGCTCTAATGATTGGAGCGAATCTGTGCTTTTTTTGTTCCTTGTTCCTTCTGAAGCTGGTCTTGATTATCTCTTTTTCTGTCGTGGCAGGTTGTTATCTCTTGGTCATGTCTCCTTGTATTTGTGGCTTTCAAATTCTGTAAATGGTCTTCACTCCTATCATCATGGAAAGGAATTGCATTCTCAGCAGCAGGCTTGTCCCTTGTTACAATCTTAATGCATATCTTTATTCTGTTCTCTCAGTCTGAGCGTTCCACCCCTGCGAAGATAGCTCCTGCACGACCTAAAAGTGGGGGAGAATCATCTGTGACAAGCCGAGACAAGCAGCAGTAATTGGCTGCTGCTTGGGGAATAACGGGAAGTGCTATTTATCCTGTTGTCCCATTATTATTTCATATATAGATTTCAAGAAATACCAAAATGATACATAAAGCCCTGTGTGCATTGTTTGCCTCGTTGCTGATCCTTTTATCTTCTTTTTACCTGTTTGTATGTCATTGGCTATAAGTGTTTTAGAGGTTTTGTATCAAATACAGTTTGTATGCAAATCATTTTATTTATCCGTTTATTTAAAGTAAAAGAATATTTTACCGAGATAGGAATTTTACTAGTGCAAAATCTAGCAAGAACTGTGGTTCAGTTTTACCCTATTCTTTGAGAGATTTGTTTATGTTTATTCACTTTTCATTTTCTGAAATTTCTTGAGCTTTGAATTTTATTTTTTGTAGTGTTGGAATGTCGTTACAAATCTTCAAATTGGATTGCTTGGCTATATGAATGAATCGTAGACAGCCAATTCCAGCTGCTCAATACGGGCCGGTTTTGATTTGTTCAGCCAAATATTTTACCAAACGACACGAATAGGAAGAAAGAAGAAAAAACCCTTGTAAGAAAAGGAAACGGGATATTATTGGGTACGGAAGAGAACTCCTGCGTTATTTTCTCATTTGAGTATGACAGAAACATATCTTCTGACTTCCATCTATCGATACGGGCGTATCGTATTGTATTGGCAAGGTTTCGGTACACCTATTTAAAGGTATTCTCAGGAACTTAGTTGTTTTATTCATTAAATAATATAAAATATTTATAAAAAGGAAGGTTTGAAAAAAAAAAACGCATTATATAAAGCACCATGCTTGAGTCATTTGTATTGACAAAAATGCCTCCAGCCATGAAACATATTTTCCATTTTCGTGAAGTATTGCCAATGTTAAGCACTTAGTGAGGCATCTTTCACTCTTTAAATCAAGGCTTGAGAGTTGAAGATGGTATCTGATTGCCATGTTTGAACTCGATCCCTTCAAGGGGGATATGATTTGATCTGTTTACAATTGGATAGAATATGGGTTATCCTATTTAATCTGATTTCGTTTGACTTGAGTATATATGCGCTCGTAAGAATTTGATCTGTTTATTTGAATTTTGTGTTTTTACTAATTTTTCATAGCTTTAAGTTTTGTATAAATAAATTTTCAATTAATTTTGTTCATAAAATATCCGATTATAAATTTGAATTTGACATAAATCCGATGAATAGGATCTGATTTGAATTCGAATATAAATACTCAAATTTAAATCTACCTATATCCAATTTGATTCCATCCATTTGTAGCCTTAAAGCTAGGGGTGTCAACGGTATTCGAAAATCCGATTTTGAATTTGATATTTGACATAATCAAATCAAATTCGGATATGACCTGATTTGATTCGATAAATATCTGAATTTGATCGATTATTTAATTCTTATATAATATATAAAACATTTTATATAATTTATATATAATAATTAAGTTATATAAATAATTTATATATTTATATACTTTATATACTTTATATCCATCAAATATTTATTTTATATATTTGTTAATTATCTAAAATTAATCGAATCGAATATTCGAATATTTAATCGGATTCGGATTCGGATATTAATTTTCAATATCCGTTGGATATTGGATTTTCTAATCATATTCGAATTTGGATATTACCTGATTCGATTCGATATCCAAATTCAAATTCAATCCATTTACACCCCTACTTAAAGCTAAGTGTACTAAAGGTCAATAACCATGTGATTTATTTCTCCCTAAATAGTAGAAATGGGAGAAATAATAGTCAAACTTCAAACTCGTCAATTGAAACAAGTTATCTTAGGAGTACGGATGCAAACGGATTGGATTAGATTCGAATCGGGATATATTCGAATTCGACTCGACATATTAATCGCATATCCAATCCAATCAGATTTGATAGATATTTGGATCTGATTCGAATCGATTTGTTTTCTTTAAAAATTAATAAATTATTAAAAGAAAAATAAGATATATCAATTTAAATATGTAAAAACAAAAAAAAGTACAAGTTTTTTAACTTTTTTCGTCATATATATACATGTTTTTATAAAAAATAAAAAATATAACAAATTTACAAAAATACAATATAAATAATATATCCATAACATTTTTTAATGCTAAAAAATGAGCTGCTTGATTTCCACTTCTAGACCATTGGATCTTTAAATCAGTCCCAATCTCAAAACGGATGTCACGAACCAGAGTTCTAATTTTCATAGCCACCCTTGGACTGCAATCCGAGAGGACATTGATGACTTCACTGGTATCTGACAAAAGAACTAAAGATATCAAGTTCATGAGACTTAAGTGACATCACTGACCCATGTAAATATTGGGGAGCCAGAAACCTAGGCAAAAAATCTTCACCCCATTTGACAACCTTAATACAAAATCATGCGCTAATTAAAATTGACATAATAGGATCACAATACACTTAGGGGGCGTTGTTTTTTTGTATTTTGAGAGGAGGAAATTTGGTCAATGGGATTTTGGTTCCTATTAATTAAGAATCCCATGTTCTTTTTTCAGATTTATGTGGGACCATGAAAAGTTTATTTTCCTAGGTAGTACTTACCTGGGTAAGTGATACCCATCTCCTAGGTGGATAAATAATTTTCCCACCTAGGAGAAAAGTTGCCAACACTTGAATAGGACAAAAATGCCGCTTTTAATAATAGATTTTTATGGCTAAAATGATCATTACCTTATTTACATGATAAATAAAAGAACATGGATAAATGCGCTTACTTGGGTAAGTGTTTCCCAGGAAAGACTTACTCAGGAACTACACTTACCTGGGTAAGTAACTTACCAAAAAGCAAATGAGGCCTTAGTGAAACCTAAAGGGTGGAAACAAAAAACATAAAAGAAAAACTAGATGGGGTTTGTCAACAGAATAGTGGCATAAACATTTCCCTTAAGCGAAAATATTGGCCATTCCAACAATTGTCTCCAATCATACAATGTTGTTGATGGACTCCTCCCCAACAGTATTGACTGGACCAAAACAATTCCACTTCCAATCAATGTGGGCAAAGGAGGGATATAAGGACCTAATTGAGGACCTTCGGAGTGATAACTATGCTGGTTTACCCCTCACAACAAAACTTAAGACTTGCAAGGGGAGTTTTCTTTTTTCTTTTTTTTTCAAGGGGAGGTTGAAAGCTTGGAACATGAGCCAATTTGGGGAAATCAAAACTAAGTTGTGCAAACTTGATCAGGAGACACAGAAGTTAGAAAATGAAAATAACCCATCCACAAGTGAACAATGGGGTAGATAATTGAAGTGGTTGAAAAGAGAGGAATAGATGTGGTGACTAAAATCTAAGAGAAATCTGGGTAAAAGAGAGGAATGGGAATACATCGACCAGTCCATAAATTTTTATAGGGAAAGGAATTCCCTTGAATTTCTAAAAAATTGAGGGATGGCAACATCTTTCAAAAATTAGATTAAAGCCATTTATAACTTGGACCAATCGGGGGATTTGGATCTCAATGGATTAATCCATAGAAGGTTAACCACTGAGGAGGCGACTGAATTGCTAATACTCCCAATAGGGGATGAAATTGAGCAAGTGGTCAAAGCAATGGGACCTTTATCTGTCATAGGTCCAGATGGATTTAACCCTTTCTTTTATCAGAAATACTGGTATGCTATAAAAAGGGATGTGTGCAACTAGGTAAAAAAAGTTTTTTGAGACCACAAAATTCCCTAGAGAGATAGATTCTACAAATTTCGTTTTTATCTCAAAAGCAAACTCCCTGAAGAAACATCTCAATACAAATCGATTAGTGTCTGTAATGTCTTATATAAGGTTATTGCTAAATATCTAGATATGAAAATGCAAAAATACATCAATAAATTAATTTCCCCAAACCAATATGCTTTTTATCAAAGGTAGACAATGTGTCGACAATGTAATTGTGGCAAATGAAATAAAAAATAAAATGAAAAAAAAAAACAGAAGAAAGGAGTGGGATGGATAATTCTAAAATTAGATATGTCAAGTACTTATGATAGAATGAGACAAGATTTCATGGTGAAAATGTTAAAGGAGATGGCCTTTCCTAAGAAATGGTGCAAAATGGTGGAAGATTGTATCAAAACACCAAGGTTTTCTGTGAAGATAAATGGAACATAAAAGGATTTTTTTGAGGTAAAAGAATCAGTTAAGGCAAGGAGATCAATTATTCCCATACCTTTTCATCATGGGAATTCAAATGTAATCAACTTCATTGGAAAAGGCAGAAGATTTGGGAGAGATTAAGGGTTCCAAGCTTTGTAGGAGGGGAATTCCAATAACCCATTTGCTCTTTGCTGATTACTGTATAGTCATGTGCAATGCAGAACCAAAACAGGTGGACAAAAAAAAAAAAATCTAACATCGGTTTGGAACGATATTAGGACAAAGGATAAATCAGAACAAATTGACTACTTTGTTTAGTTGGGGAGTATATAAAAGGAATAAGAAAATGCTCATAAGATTGTTGGGCTTTAAACATATGTCAACAGAAGAAAAATATCTGGGAGCTAAACTTCACATATCAAGGCAGTGGGAAATTATACACAAAATGGAAATAGATTGACACCTTGGAGAGCAAAACTATTATCCCAAGCAAGAAGAACTACCTTAGTGAAAGTAGTAGTTCAAGACTTTCCTACATGCACCATGGGCACCACAATTGCACCATTAAATATTCTCCAAAAAAAAGTGGAACAAATCCAAAGAAAAAAAAGTAGACACACTGTTGCTGCCAAATCTAGATCCAAGGGTAGCTTGGTAACTTTTGAGGTCCGATAGCCGAGGCTCCCACGTGCTAAGAGTGAAAATACGTCAGAGGCTTCAAGAGTGTTCCCAAGGGCGAGGAATCTAATAGTCAAGTTAGCCAAGGGCTTATGGAATCCAAGGTCACAATAAGAGAGTAAGGATTAACTTAAGTGTGCATGCGTAAGAGTATACCTTAGCCTTTGGTGTCCTTTTATTGTTGGATTTACCTGGGAGAAGAATACTGGGCAATTGATAACGATCTCGTGAATCTCGGTCATGAATGTGGATGTTATAGGGATAGCGACTGAGTGTTACCCCCTCATAAGTGCACTAGGAGGAAGTTCAACCGAGAACGTAACACTTGTAATAAATGCTCTGTATTTAATGATTCATGGGAGTTATGAAAATGCCCTTGACCGATGCTAAAATAACGACTTGGGTGATGCCATGCGTCGTCATCTAGTAAAGTGGCTG